AAATTAAAAAATTAAAATTGATAAATTTATAAATAAAATTAAAAAATTTTAATCTGTTGGCGGTTTGATATAAAAAGCTATATAAACTAACTTTTTCAATCCGCTAGCGGATTGAATTTTAACCGCTATCCGCTAGTCTCAAACCGCTAAATAAAAATTTTACCAAACACTTTATTTATATCGGTTTCAAAATATGTAAATTTATCAAATAACTATATTTAACAGTTTAAGTAAAACCATTAACCGTTATCCAAAATTGCTATACCAAACGGGACCAAATTATCAAAAAAATAAAAAATTAATGAGCGGCGGAGGACAGTTTTCACCTTATAATTATATAAAATATTCAGTTTATAAATAAGCACGATAAAAAGTAATCTTAAATTATATACTTCTTTATTTGTGATTAAAATTAGACTAGACGCGGTTTTTGGCCCATGTGAGCTACTCAGTCCCCCATCCTTTCATCCACATTGTACCAGATTTGGCCTTGTCCCCATTCATAAAGCTGTTTTTGCTTCTCCGTTTCTCCCTCTTTTCCTTAGCATTCTTGTTTTTCGAACCAACACTTCAATCTGTGTCCTGATTTCGTGTGTCTTTTTTCGTTTTTGATTACAAGCTAAGTTTGTTGGGTTTTATGGACTCTAATGCACCGTAATTGTGCTATGAGTTTTGACAGTATAAGGTAAGTTTCTTATCCTCACATCCAATTCCCACAACATCATTCCGGATTCTTTGTGGCGTATGTTTAAGGCAACAGATATGGCCCTTAACTTATTCTACCTTTTTTCCTTTTCTAGGTTTGGCTTACCTTATTTTGCTTTAGCCTAAAGAATCTTGGCTTGTGAATGGAGAGAAGTCTTTTCTGGGTTCATCTGGGTCTCTCGGGTTTCTCCGGAAAACTGCACTTCAACTGTTTGTTGATGGTCCTCTGAAGGTTTTTCTTTTTCCTTTTTAGATTATTGGGTAGAGGGTCCACGGAGAGAATTCCAATCTGAGATTTTCTATTGAGGGAATGTGAATTTCTGGGGAAAGATGGGGTCTTTCAGTGGGTTAGGTATTGGGTTAGGTCTGGTGTTTGGTTGCCTTCTCTTGGCTCTTGTTGCCGAGCTTTTCTATCTGCTGTGGTGGAAGAAGAGAATTACTAGAAGAGAGATTGAAGATGACTATAGCAATCATGCAAAGGAGTTGATTCAGCTTTTCTGCTGGAAGAAATCACCCTCTAGGCATACACCCACAGCCAATGGCAGCAGTCAAGAAACTGTCAAAGACACAGATGCCAATGGTGATCTTGAGTCAGACCCAGAACTTGGTTCAAACAAGGATTTGTTGTTGAAGGCTTTTGGAGGAGAGGAAGGCGTTGAAGCAGAGCTCATGAGGCTGCACAATCTAGCCGGACCGCCGAGATTTCTCTTCACAATCAAGGAGGAAACTAAGGAAGATTTGGAGTCTGATGATGGCAGGTCTAGAGGTGATAGGAGCAGGAAAGGATCCAGAACAGGAAGTTTCATGGGTGATCTTGTGCTGACTGTCGATAATCCTTTTCTCAGTCCTCTGGCTTCTCCACACTCAAAGACTCCTTTGAGTTCTCTTTACTCTTATCACCATCACGGATTCAATCCTCTCTTTGAATCATCAACAGAAGCTGAATTGAATAGATTGAGATCTTCACCTCCTCCAAAATTCAAGTTCTTGAGGGATGCAGAAGAGAAACTGCTGAGAAGATTGATGGAAGAAGCTGAGAAAAAGGTACAGAAGACTGGTGGGTCTGTTCAGGATTCTGATACTGTTAAACCTCCTGACAGTCCGAAAGTGGTAGCAGAAGTGATTGAAGGTTCTTTTCTTAAATTCATTGCTGGGAAGAACAAGGAGCCACTTCAATATTTGCCACAATATCCCTCAAGCTCTTCCCAGGTACTGCCATTGGCTTCATCCCCTACAACATTGTGATCACAGACATGAAGGACAGTGCATTAGATTTTCAGTACTTACTTTGTTTTTTCTTTCCACTAGTCCATTAACTATTCAAGATGGTTGCTTGACTATAAATTTAAAAACTTTTTTTTTTATTATTTTTTTTCGAGAAACCTATTCATTTTCTTCTGGGATTCTTGAAGGGTGCTTCACTGCCTGTTTGGATAAGATTAGCCAAAGGCTAATTAGCCATTACCAATCTGCAAATTCTGTTAAGACAAGGTGCCTGGACTAGTTTAGTTCAAAGTAGAAGACCTGTGGGGCAATTCTGTTATTAACCCCCTCATGTTCATGTCTCCTGAGCTGACTCTACAGTTGTCATTCATATGCTGATGTTGCTCTAATGTTTTTCAATTCTCATGGTCAAAAAAGTAAAGTGACTTCAATCACTAGCCTCATTCTTCATGAATCATGATTTAGTTTTATCCCATGATATTTTGTCCCAAAACATGTTAATGATATTAGTAACATGATTTTGGTTAGGTAGCTTTTTAACATCAATATTTGGGCATGCTAATTCCGCATTAAAGGCTGATGAGTGAGACATTCACGCTTTTGCGCCACAACTCCAAATGCTGTCCAGCTAATGTTGTTTCCTGTTAGAAATATGGAGTTGAAGATTCAAGCTTAAATCTTCCTCCTTTTTATCTATTTGATCACAGTTTTTTTTGAAAATAGGTAATGGCTATTTGATCACAGTTGTTAGAGGAGATTTCTTCCTTTGCCTTCTTTTGTCAATTAAAAGTACTAATCCTATTCCCACCTGATTGTCTCTCTCTTTGAATTCAACAGCACCTTTTCATTCTTAGAAAATTACACGTTTTCTCGTCTACTTCCAGCTCATATATGTTCATTTTGTCATTCAAATTGTTAGATGAATGAATGTTTGCTAGCTAGTACGAAATTAAGTGCTTTCAAATAGAAAAAAAAACACCCCTTTTATTTTCTTAGTTCCCAAGCATGCCTTGTGTTCCGAAGCAAGCAAGGGTCCAAAGGAACCTTCCTTTACTTCCAACAAACAAACCCAAAGGAGAAAATGGAGGGAAGAAAGCAAGACGGAACATAAAACTACTGAGGGTTTAAACTTTAAATGGGAAAGGGCTTTAACTTCAACAAGTAGACAAAAAGATGATAGCAGTTGGAATTTGTGAGCTTTTACCTAAACAACAAGAAATGTCATCGTGTTATCACGCGCTGTGCCGAAAGTTGCCCCCTACCTTGGCGTTTCCATTATTCTCTAACAATTTCCAAGGCCATTTTCTTCCTTTTTAAATTTTGAATTTCCTCAAACGACTACATTTTTGAATTGAGAAATGACCAACTACCGAATTGCCTTCGTGCTTGAGCAGACAACAATCAGAAAATTCGTATGTTGAAAAGGAAGGAGTGGTCCAAAGTGAAGGTGATGGAAGAAAGCAGAAGTCAATTTTCTGGACTTTTTGGCCAAAAATTGTATGGCTTCAGCCTTCTAGTTCTGGATTGAAACCTAAAGTCCTTTAAAGCTATTTTTTCCCCTAACTTCTAGAGGTTGGCTTGGCATTTTGGCAAGGGGGACCGTGGGACAGGGCAATAATGCATTTTCTGATGTTTTGCGTTTCCCACAGTAAAGTTTAGAGGAGGGAAGGCTCTCAAAATTAGGAATTTATTTTTTATTTAATATTTTTTATTATGTAATTTAATATAATTTTAAATATGTAATAATTTTTTAAATTAAATTTTAATGTGAATAATTTACTTAGAAAAAAAAAAACTTGGTTTGCGTTCTTTTATTTTATTATCTCTAACAATGATTACTCATTTATTTCAAGGAGATGAGATTTTGAATTTGGAACGTCAATATCTTTGTTCTTCACCATAAACAAATAATGTTTGCCATTTTAGTTTTAAATATATGAACTGGTTTGCCCTATTCACCATAGTCTAAGGCTGATGGCAAACCCCATTGTGGTTTATTTAAATGTAAATTTTTTAACATATACACTTAAAGAACATATTAAAAATACAAAATATCATTTTACAAGGTAGAGCATGTATAGTTTATCTGATAAAATTATTTAAATATTTTTTTAAAAATATAAAACAGATTTTAAA